AACCCTACCTCAAACCCCAAACCCTAACCCAAACCCTAACCCTAAACCCTAACCCTAACCCTACCCCTAACCCTACCCCAAACCCTAACCCTAACTCTACCGCTAACCCTAACCCAAACCCTAACCCTACCCCTAATCCTACCCCTAACCCTACCCCAAATCCTAACCCTAACCCTACCCCTACCCCTAACCCTAACTCTACCCCAAATCCTAACCCAAACCCTAAGCCTAACCCTAGGATGACAGGTAACTATATCATTTGTTTCGTTCCCTGTTTTCCACTCCGTAATTGCACTGCAGCCAGGGGAGTGAACTCCGACTAAGCGGCTGTCGCCTTCCAGCTAGCGACCATTATTTAAAGGAGAGCCGAAAAGACTTCTAATGCTTTACGACCAGCTTGTTAAGAGGGCAGTGGGTTTTTTCCCCCCCCCCCCCCCCCCCAACCCATTCTCAACTGAGACCGAGGAATCCACAGTGGCAGAGTTAACCAGAAAAATATGTTAACACTGCTAAACATTATGTAAAATAAAATTAAATTAAAACACAATCTATAAAATATAAATTAAATTTCTACAAAAACACATTCATATAAATTGTTTACAAGTTCATATGTTAACATTCCAGTAATGTGTATTAATCGTGGTTACAAAATTTTGTATTCTGTTAAATTTGGTTAAACATTATTAACATCATTCACGCACATTGTCAGTTTAAAAAATGGCATGTTAAATTCAAAATGTTGCGCTTTGGGAGCGAGTTATGAGTGCGGAGATCATTACAGTCTGAGGAGAATGGCAACGCCACCAGGGGATCTAGCCGACGATCAACTGCCAATTACCACCTTTTTACCACACTTTCGCGGTTTAGGCTCCGATGCTCAGCACTCAAGGCAAAGGCGAGGAGGATGTACAATCAGACAGTTACTGGTGCCATTGAAATTGGAACTCTTTGCTTGCTGCTGAAGATAGGAACGAAGCGTTTAAGTAAGTGTCCCTAGTGCTATGATGCCAATTCTTCATTAAACATAAACAATTTTGTTAAATATCTCCCGCCTCCATTCATCTCTCTTGGTCTTCTCTTTCCAGTTGGTGACACCGAGTGTTTGTAGATCTGTCTAGAATTTTCTCTCCACCTTCTTCTTGGTCTGCCTCGTCGTCTTTGGCCATTCATCTCTCTTGTATACAGTTTTTACTTCTCTGTCATCTGACATTCTTTCAATAGGCCCCAACCATTTCAGTCTATTATCTCTCATAATACCAGTGATTAGTGGTGATTTAAACAGATTATGAATTTTATTACTTCCTCTCACTCTCGATTCCCTGTTGTTAGCATCTTTGATGGGTCCAAAAATGTATCGTAAGACTGTTTTCGAAAGCCTGTAATAAGGCTTCATCTCTTTTAGTTATACTTCAAGTATCACAGCCAATTAAAACGACGGGTCTTATAAACGTTTTATATATTTTGATCTTTCTGTTACGAGACAGACATTTTGTCTTTAGCAGATGTTGAGGGGCATAGTATACTTTATTTCTAGATTGTATTTTAGATTGCAGAAAACAATGCCTGGCATTATTTATTTGTCTGCACTATTTAGATAAATTTAAGCACTCTAAGCGTCTCGGTTTATCTACAGATTGATTTAGTAATTCACAAAAACTGTCACCGCCAGTTGTAGCGGCTGGACGCTTGCCTGAAAATCCCAAGGCTGTGAGTTCGGGTCCGGCTCCTTGGCTCCCAGGATGACCCAGTTTTTAACTGGTACCTTGTAAAGTCCTGGGAGATAAAGACGGCCGGCGTAATGTTGACCACAGCACCCACTGGTTATTCAAATATTGGTCTAGCCCTATATGCCCAATACGTCTAAAGGCATGGAAAAGAGCTGTTTTGGAAAAAAAGAATGAAAACGTATAAACTGTCACACATGTTGACTTCGCTGGCAGAAAGGGAAAACAAAATCACTTTTGATTAAATTCAGTTGAACCACATGATTACAATGCCTTGTGTTTTGTCACGAATCGAATGTCCAAAAAGAAGCGTTAAGTTCCCGGTGTCACGGGCTGGAGATAAGAAATCTGACATGTTGACAAGAATTGGAGATTTAAGTCTGACTTCGAGGCGGGAAAAGTAAATTTACTGAAAATTATTTTTATTTCGAATGTACTCAGAACGTCGTCAAATGTCGACTATTGTCGATAGCATGTGACAAAAGGAAGGTCATGAAGGAGTCAACACTGGAGGTCAATACTGGGGAATAGTTCGTTTTCTTAATATCTGATTTATGTGTAAAAGGTACAAAGGTAAAGGATCTCTTTACGCCATTGGAGCAACGAGCATGCGATACCAGACCCATATTTTCATGGACACATTGGCACTCTGTACCTTGTGCTATGTACAATACAATGTTGTCATATCGGCCGTCTTTACTTCACCGTACAATTCCTGATACACATTAAAGGCTGCATCGTTTAATTAGCCCTAGATCAAGTATACAATTTTCCTTAGTTCCGAAGTTAAGCCATGAATTCACAGTGTATAGGCTAACATGAACAATTAGCGACTGAACTGTCGCGATATTTAGCTTTTGTATATTGCCATCTGTCGGCTTCTGTGACGTAACGATTTGCAAAAGCGCCTTATAATGCCGGGATGCAGGGTTCTATTCTAACTGTAGACTATTTGGCAGCAGACCGCCTTGCTTGGGATTCGATGGCGGTATCGAGAACTGAAGGCAAACTACTGAACGTAAATTTTCCCAGAAAAGCAAACAACTGCCAAAAATGCTGTGGTTGGTTCTTGTAAAGGACACGCAACTAACTGTTTATCTAGTCATTCCGCTAGGCGACTAACTGCTTATCTAGTCATTCAGCTACACAACTAACTGTTTATATAGTCATTCAACTACGCAACGAATTGTTTATCTAGTCACCCAGCTACACAACTAACTGTTTATATAGTCATTCAACTACGCAACGAATTGTTTATCTAGTCACCCAGCTACACAACTAACTGTTTATATAGTCATTCAACTACGCAACGAATTGTTTATCTAGTCACCCAGCTACACAACTAACTGTTTATATAGTCATTCAACTACGCAACGAATTGTTTATCTAGTCACCCAGCTACACAACTAACTGTTTATCTAGTCATTCCGCTGGCGAGCTAATTGTTTATCTAGTCACACAACTATGCAACGAACTGTTTATCTAGTCATTCAGCGACGCAACTGACTGTTTATGTGGTCACTCAGCATTGTCCCATTGTGGGTTTCTGTGCTCCATTTGTGTGTGTGTTGGGGAGGGGTGGGAGGGGTACATCCATTGCCTGCCATTCTTAACAACCATGTTTTAAAGTACAACTAATTAGGTCTTAGCTACAATCTAAGGTGTTTTCCACAAAGTGATGTTATCGCAGCCTAGCTTTAAACCAAAACTAAACGTGCTAACCGCCCTTTTAAAGGCAGAAGCTGATGAACAGAAAACAAATTCTTCAACATGGCCATAACCTAGTTCCTCTTCACCCTTCCCCTCGACATTAATACACTGAAGAATGTCAGTAGTCTTCCTCTTCTTGATACTCTAAGAATCCTTGTGAACATATGCATTTACTGCGTGCGCACGTCTGGGCTGTGGCGGGGTTTTTTTTTCCCCTCCAAAGGATAGTGAGGGACATTTCATTTGATTTTCACTGGTACAGGAAACAAGCAAGTATGGGGAAAGCTGACCGTGGTGAAGTTCAATCAAAACTAACACTTTGAGAATCTTCCGTAAGGTTTATATTCACAATGTCTTTTCTTTGAGTGTTCGTAATGTCCTCTTCTTTTTCTAATTCTTCTTCCTCTTCTTCTTTTTCTTTTCTTCTTCTTCTTCTTCTTCTTCTTCTTCTTCTTCTTCTTCTTCTTCTTCTTCTTCTTCTTTTTCTTTTTCTTTTCTTCTTCTTCTTCTTCTTCTTCTTCTTTCTTCTTCTTCTTCTTCTTCTTTCTTCTTCTTCTTCTTCTTCTTCTTCTTCTTCTTCTTCTTCTTCTTCTTCTTCTTCTTCTTCTTCTTCTTCTTCTTCTTCTTCTTCTTCTTCTTCTTCTTCTTCTTCTTCTTCTTCTTCTTCTTCTTCTTCTTCTTCTTCTTCTTCTTCTTCTTCTTCTTCTTCTTCTTCTTCTTCTTCTTCTTCTTCTTCTTCTTCTTCTTCTTCTCCTCTTCTCCTTCTCCCCATCCTCCTTCTTCTTCTTCTTCTTCTTCTTCTTCTTCTTCTTCTTCTTCTTCTTCTTCTTCTTCTTCTTCTTCTTCTTCTTCTTCTTCTTCTTCTTCTTCTTCTTTTTCGTCACGTTCACCGGCTGTAAACACCGGTGCAAGGTTTTGGTTGTTCGTCTACTTCTGGACCTTGATCTTGTTCATGAACTTTCGGTTTTTTTGTGCTTTTTCCTAGTTTTACAGATGTGGCTTACCTATTTGTGGTCTTAATTTTCTCGCCTCTCAGGCAGATGTACTCTGACATAAGGAAACATCCCTAATTATTTAACTTTTACGACATGCTTGTTTGGGGGAAGTGGATCTATTCTTTTTTCCCCTAAAATGGGACCCCAAAACCCACACGGCGAGCACCTAATATAATGTGCGGCAAACCTTGTACACATTTCAGCATATCCGAAAACCTTTTTAAAATGGTTTTTTTTTAACGGGTTATAGAATTTTTAAACGTGTTTTGAGAAGTAATCAACTCGAAAACTTGGTGACAGCGGGCAAGGCTTATGGTAAAGCAATCTAGGGGAGACAAAGACATAAATACCTGGACTACGGGGACACACGTTTTGGACGGGACAAGAACACAGACCTGGTCCGTGTCTTAGGTTGTCGTGTGAGATAGAGAGCTGTAACCGCTAGCGCTTATGATAATTAGAATGATGACCATTACACTTAAGATTAGAAAGCATTAAGCACATCAAACAAGGCCGTCGTAGTGAGAATGAAACACTGGTCAGCTTCGACACACAACACACAAATCTGGCTTTAGCACGATGTCTTCTTTGTCGCATAGGAGGACAGACGATTGATGTAGTTCTGGCTGTGAGTCCTACATTCACTGTTCTGAATTACTGACTGTTTCGGCGGGCAAACAGAAAGGCAGAAAATCCTCTTGAAGGTAATCCAAAACTTTTCAGAGAACCAGCAGTAGAGGACAAAGTTGCAGGAGGACTTCAGCGCTAGCAGGACATTACATGTGTACTTGAAATGCTTCCAGAAATCAGTTTTGGTCAAGGACGGGTCCTCGGATGTGTCAAATTTCTTCACTGCCATGAAAAATCTGAGAGATTTGAAAAAAGAAAAAAACTTTTTATTGCGCAAAAATAAACTGTGCTATTTTTCCAAGGGGAGATAGGCTGTATTTCAGAGGTGGGCAAACTATGGCCAGCGAAACAAAATGGCCCGTCTGGAATTTTTTTTTTTAACTGGCCTGCAAAGCTGGTGTAAAATTACATTTTGTAGTATAATTTCGTAAAAAAGTCAGCCTGAACAAACATATTTAGGAATATATAAAAGGCTTCAGTGGCTGAATATTTCTAGGCAAAGCAAGGGCTTTTAATCTTACATTATCCAACAAAAATATCGTGTTACGAAGAAATCTGGGTGTTTTGTTTAATTCTAAATTTGGATCGCGGAATAAATTAAATGTTGCCCATCCCTGACTGGTGGATGTGTGCATACACTATTACTTTTTAGAAATAATAGTTTGAAGATCCAAGCTCTTCCAGAACTATCACCCCACTGTCCGACAGTCACAAGAAGGATTATTTTTTTTAGGGAAAACTGCCTAACTCGGAAATCCAGCTTTGGTACGTAGAGGACTGTACAACGCGTTCATTAGCCTCTAGACCAGGGATCAGCACTCAGTAATACAGAGAAGCCGGTGACATAAGTATGCAAATGTCAAGGCAGATAGTGTTAGACGCATAATTTATAGTCTAATCGGCACTGACAAATGATATTGTCAGATGACTCCGACCACCTTCACTTCTTTAAAAACCTCTGGGAACGCTTTATTACATTTTGTTTTGTTTGTTTGTTTATAATAGTAATTTTAACTATTTTAGAATGAAACTCTTCTTATTACAGACTAAAAATATGTGGGTCTAGCAAACATTTATTAACAACTTACGTGAACATAATGTAGAGATTGTAAGAAACAGCAATGAACAACCTATGTGTACATCATGTAGGGAGTAAAACAAACAGTAATCAGCAACTTCCGTCACAAGATGTGTGGAGTGTAACAATAATAATCAACAACTTATGTGACATGATGTGGGGGATGTAACAATAATAATCATCATCTTACGTTACATGCTTTGTGGAGTGTAACAATAATAATCAACAACTTACGTGTACATCATGTAGGGAGTGTAACAGACATTAACTAACAACCTACATGTACAGCATATTGGCAGTGTAAGAAACATTATCTTACAACTTACATGTGCACCCTGAAGGGAGTGTAACAAACATTATCTAACAACTTACGTGTACATCATGTAGGGAATGTAACAAACAGTAACTAACAACTTACATGTACTCCTGTAGGGAGTATAAAACAGTAACTAACAACTTACATGTACATCATGTAGGGAGTATAACAAGCATTATCTAACAACTTATATGTACATCATGTAGGGTGTGTAACAACATCAATCAATAACTTACATGTACATCATATGGGGAGTATAACAAACATAACCGACATTAACTAACAACCTGCATATACATTACGTAGGAAGTGTAACAATTTTTATTAAATGACAAATGTTTACATCATGTAGGGAGTGTAACAAACACTAACTAACAACTTACGTGTAGATCATGTAGGGAGTGTAACAAACAATAACTAACAACTTACGTGTAGATCATGTAGGGAGTGTAACAAACATTAACTAACAACTTATGTGTAGATGATGTAGAGAGTGTAACAAACATTAACTAACAACTTACGTGTAGATCATGTAAAGAATGTAACAAACATTAACTGATAACTTACATGTAGATCATGGAGGGAGTGTAACAAACATTACCTAACAACTCACGTGTAGATCATGTAGGGAGTGTAACAAACATTAAGTAAAAACCTACGTGTAGATCATGTAGGGAGTGTAACAAACAATAACTAACAACTTACGTGTAGATCATGTAGGGAGTGTAACAAACATTACCTAACAACTCACGTGTAGATCATGTAGGGAGTGTAACAAACATTAAGTAACAACCTACGTGTAGATCATGTAGGGAGTGTAACAAACATTAAGTAACAACCTACGTGTAGATCATGTAGGGAGTGTAACAAACAGTAACTAACAACTTACGTGTAAATCATGTAGGGAGTGTAACAAACAAAGAAAGCCACAATGACGCTGACCAGCATCATCGTCATCTTCAGCTCTTCCCGTGACACAACTGACCGGACGTGCCAATCAATCCCCAAGTGGTACTGAAGATATCTTGAAGACTTTCGGATCTCCATGATGAGGCGGACGTTGAGCACCAAGAGGGCTAGTAGAGGCACGAAGGTCAGAAGAACTCCTGGAAATGCGTTAAAGTTAATGAGTGAAAGCTGCTACTTCAACTTTTCATAATTTCGAATAATTAGCGACTGTGTGATTTCGAAGTTTTTGAAAGCGGAAAATAATTAAAAGTGGCAAGGACAAGCAGGCCCGGAGAAGTCATAGGGAAACTGTAATGTTCGTGATAGTCAAAACGCTGCACCATTCTCTCCAGGAAAGATTCAAACCCGATGAAAAGTATATCAGCAAGCTTCACAATATAATAAACACAAACAAAACGTGAACGTTGCGGCTATGGAGCTTCTTCAGCGCATACATAGAATAGACATTACTACACACATACACAATATTACTTATCTTCGTATCTCGTGGCAGCAGGGTCGATGTCAAGACAATGGTCTGGCGAGGCACGTGGGGCCTTGAAAATGGATATCTGGGAATATATCAGGGGCCATGACTTGAGGATAAGATGAAATTGTGTAGGCAGTGCAGTCCCGTAGGGTTTATGTGAAGCTGTATTGGCAGTTAAGTCCATTGGGCGCCAGAGTTCCCAAGGTGTAAACAAAGCGATGTCCAAGAGAATTGCGGACTGTCGCTGGAGTGGCTAGATTTATTGGCTGTCACCTCCATGTCGTAGACACATTAACCATTCACTCCAGACAGTGATGATATTACAAGATTATTAAACAAACGAAAGAACACGAAAGTAAACCGACCAGTTGCGAAATTACATATTTGAGAAAGTCGCGAACAAAATTTAAAAAAAAAAAAAAAATGCGAGATTTGAAGAAATTAAAAAGAACTATTGGAACAAAATATAAAAGTAACTTCATTTAAAAAAAAAAGAATACAATGATTTGGCGATTTAATGAGAAAGAGTAATATCACATGAGCATACATCATGAACGATAACAATCAAGATATCGGGGACGGCCCAGAATAACATGGATTGAATGAGGTACTTACACCTTGACACACCACAAAATACAGCATTGGCTTGATAGCAGGGGCACGGTAGGTACAGGAAAAGCAATGAACCGGGCACACATTCTCAGTGCTCTCTAAAAGGCTGGACGAGGAGATGATTGAAGAACCGACGTTGAATCGGCGACACTCAACAGATTTATAAGAACCCAGGTCAAGAGAGCTTTCGACAAACATGATCTCTAGATAGGTAGCAAAAGAAGAATAGTAAACCAATATAGAACTTGTGTTTTTAGTCACCGATGGGATCTGAGCACTATTGGACCTATATGATGTGCAGTGAGAATAAAAGCTGTCTATTAACTAACTAACTAAAATCACAGCATAATAAACAACCTAGCGTATCCTAGCCCAGATACTGATAATATGATGACTTCCGACGCCTAGCCACACAAAGACACAAAGAAAATTATGGACAACAGAAGAATAAAAATTACACTCACCAGTAACGATGTATGTGTAAATAGCCTCATCATACACGTAGACGTTAGTGACAATCATAGTTTCTTCCTCCTCGCTCTCTGCTGTCACGTATATGATGTCCATCTCTGCGAACTTGGGGGATCGCAGGATAAAGGCAACCACAGTCAACACGATGATGATAATACGGGCTCTCTTGACCTACAGTATGTGTCAGTAAGAACGTCTAGGTTTGGATTTTTCAAGCAGAGTTTCTCTATCTATCTATCTATCTATCTATCTATCTATCTATCTATCTATCTATCTATCTATCTATCTATCTATCTATCTATCTATCTATCTATCTATCTATCTATCTAATCTAACTATTCTTCTACTATTCGTAAGGAGAAGAAGAACTTTTTTAAAATGTTAATAGTAGATAAAACAAACACCAAAGATATATGGAAGGCAATTAATACATTGACCAAAAAAGGTACTTCAACGCGTTTACGGACATCTAACATAACATCAGATGATTTTAGTAAGTTCTTTGAAGCCGATATAGAACAATTAAAAGCCACAATACCAAATTGTCCTTGTGATTTATCCCTGCTTTCATCATTTTGTGAAAATAAATGCTCTGAAGATATTCCTTCTGACATACCTCTCATGTCAGTGGCTGATGTGTTTTACACATCTCAACAGTCTCAGAAACAGCAATGCGTCCGGTTTAGACGGAATCAGCAATAGGATCCTTCGCAGTGCTGCACCAGCTATTTGCGAGACATTGACTTTTATCTACAATCAATGTCTTGCTAAAAGCTACTTCCCGTCGGCATTTAAGATTGCCAAAGTTTATCCACACCTAAAATCTGGTTCCTTAGACAGTAGCATCCCAGGTAATTATAGACCCATCTCCCTGTTATCATCTCTATCAAAACCACTAGAGAAACATATTCATAAAGTAACATTTGAATATTTAGATCGCAACAAACTTATAATCGATAACCAGTCAGGGTTTCGACCACAATATTCTTGCCATACTGCCTTAACAAACATGATAGAAAACTGGCATAAGAATATTAATGATGAGAAAATTTGTGAAGGGGTATTTATAGACTTTAAAAAAGCTTTTGACATGATAGACCATACAATTCTTATTAGAAAATTAGAAACAATGAAATTTAACCCTAGACTATTAAAGCTAATAAAATCATTTTTGTTAAATAGAAAACAAATAATCTCTTACAATAAATCCCTATCGCAGACAACTAGCTTAAATACCTCAGGGCTCAGCCTCAGCCTCAGCCTCAGGGCTCGATTCTCGGCCCTCTGTTATTTAATATTTATATAAATGATCTTCCCTTATGTCTGACGTCGTCCTGCGATCTATTCGCAGACGACTGTACCATCTATGCAAATGCTCAAACGAGCAGTGCACTAGAGTCGTCATTACAACAAGAACTAACCAATGTAGCTAAATGGAGCAGTGCAAACCGTATGCAAATAAACATTAATAAAACAAAATCTATGCTAATAACAACGAGACAAAAACTATGTAGTCTAAATTCACAGAGAACGCTTCAACTCCACATTGGGAGGACTCAAGTGGAAAGTGTAACTGAGCACAAAGTACTGGGGTTGACCATTGATGCAAATCTAACCTTCAACTCACACGTACAAGCACTTGTGAAGCAAACAGCTAAAAAGGTGTACCAGCTTTCAAAAATTAAAAACTTTCTTGACGAAAACACAAGAAAGATATTCTATATTTCTCACATCCAGACATATATAGACTATTGTTCTACAATATGGGATGGTTGTTCCAGTTCTGTTATCAAGAGGCTCACGTCTATGCAAAAGCGCGCCATTCGCTTAATAAGTAATAATCATAGGACAGTGAGTTCCGAAACGTATAAAGGCCTTATGCTACTACCGCTTCGTGAACGTCTACTTTTCAATAAGGCGAAATTTATGCACAAAATATTATCCCAAAAGACTCCATGTTACTTATGGCCGTTTGTTTAAATATAATAAAAGGCATAGTAATCGCCTGAACATATTACACATACCTAAACCTAGGATAGACCTTTACAAAACAAGTTTAGCGTACTCCGCAGCTCAATTGTGGAATTGTCTTCCACAACAGATCAAAAATACCACTAGTCCCTATAGGTACAATCGAAAACTGTTTGAATATTATTTGAGCACAGATTACATGCCCCCATAGAGGCAAAACAGAAAAATATTTTTGAAATAGCGCCTTTTCCCATAGATTTATAACAACAGCTACGGTTTGTTGTAGTTAGAAATGTAGACATTTCAGTGCTTGTATTGAATGTTTTGATGCTTTTTATACTGTTTTATTACTTGATGTGTGAATGAAATGATGTAGGAATGAAATGATGTAGGAATGGAGGAAGACCTCGAAGGGCAGAATGTAAGACGGGCCTGCGTGCCCAATTCTTAACCCTTTAAAAATAAAGTTTGTTCGTTCGTTCGTTCGTTCGTTCTGTCTATCTATCTATCTATCTATCTATCTATCTATCTATCTATCTATCTATCTATCTATCTATCTATCTATCTATCTATCTATCTATCTATCTATCTATCTATCTATCTATCTATCTATCTATCTATCTATCTATCTATCTATCTATCTATCTATCTATCTAATCTAACTATTCTTCTATCTATCTAATCTAACTATTCTTCTATCTATCTATCGTCTATCTATCTAATCTATCTATCTATCTATCTATCTATCTATCTATCTATCTATCTATCTATCTATCTATCTATCTATCTATCTATCTATCTATCTATCTATCTATCTATCTATCTATCTATCTATCTATCTATCTATCTATCTATCTATCTATCTATCTATCTATCTATCTATCTATCTATCTATCTATCTATCTATCTATCTATCTATCTATCTATCTATCTATCTATCTATCTATCTATCTATCTATCTATCTATCTATCTATCTATCTATCTATCTATCTATCTATCTATCTATCTATCTATCTATCTATCCATCTATCGATCGATCCATCCATCCATCCATCCATCCATCCATCCATCCATCCATCCATCCATCCATCCATCCATCCATCCATCCATCCATCCATCCATCCATCCATCCATCCATCCATCCATCTATCTATCTATTTATCATTCTATCTATCTATCTATCTATCTATCTATCTATCTATCTATCTATCTATCTATCTATCTATCTATCTATCTATCTATCTATCTATCTATCTATCTATCTATCTATCTATCTATCTATCTATCTATCTATCTATCTATCTATCTATCTATCTATCTATCTATCTATCTATCTATCTATCTATCTATCTATCTATCTATCTATCTATCTATCTATCTATCTATCTATCTATCTATCTATCTATCTATCTATCTATCTATCTATCTATCTATCTATCTATCTAATCCAACTATTCTTCTATCTATCTATCTATCTATCTATCTATCTATCTATCTATCTATCTATCTATCTATCTATCTATCTATCTATCTATCTATCTATCTATCTATCTATCTATCTATCTATCTATCTATCTATCTATCTATCTATCTATCTATCTATCTATCTATCTATCTATCTATCTATCTATCTATCTATCTATCTATCTATCTATCTATCTATCTATCTATCTATCTATCTATCTATCTATCTATCTATCTATCTATCTATCTATCTATCTATCTATCTATCTATCTATCTATCTATCTATCTATCTATCTATCTATCTATATCTATCTATCTATCTATCTATCTATCTATCTATCTATCTATCTATCTATCTATCTATCTATCTATCTATCTGTCTGTCTGTCTGTCTGTCTGTCTGTCTGTCTGTCTGTCTGTCTGTCTGTCTGTCTGTCTGTCTGTCTGTCTGTCTGTCTGTCTGTCTGTCTGTCCGTCCGTCCGTCCGTCCGTCCGTCCGTCCGTCCGTCCGTCCGTCCGTCCGTCCCGTCCGTCCGTCCGTCCGTCCGTCCGTCCGTCCGTCCGTCCGTCCGTCCGTCCGTCCGTCCGTCCGTCCGTCCGTCCGTCCGTCGTCCGTCTGTCTGTCTGTCTGTCTGTCTGTCTGTCTGTCTTTCTGTCAGAGAGACAGACAGATATAATCTTTATATATATATATATATATATATATATATATATATATATATATATATATATATAATATTATGTATTCATCCACCCATCCTTCTATTTATTTTTCTGTCCGTATGTAACTAATTTTATGTGGATAGTAGATTAAAAAATGTATTTTGAAGAATTTCGAATTTGTTTTAAAAGAGTGAAATATCATCTATATCACAGATTCTTGATCATGATGGGACACAGGAAAATCGAGAACACGTCAGAGCGTCTTGAAGATATAGTACAATAATTTACCCTACGAAGAGAATTGATTACCTGAACCAGAGGAAGAAAATCAATATTCTTTAGGCAAGTTAGAAGGAGAGAACTGGACGCGGTTTTGACAGTGGCGTAGCTGTAATGGCCAAGAGGTATGTGGGAACAGGACAGAAAGTGTTGACCAATCTGGCATTATACAAAAAGTTAACTACTTATCGAATAAAAAGTCATCGCTCTCACATAAAATGTAGACATCTTACCGTTCAAATAACTATTCGTTCCACATAAACAGCTCACTAACTGTACATCTATCGTTTTTTTTTTTTTTTTTTTCTAAAAAATAATAAAAAGTTTCATTTTTTTAAATATCCTACTCCCAGATGACGTCACATGACAGTTCACCATTATAGAGGGTGGTAAGACTGGGTCTTTGCAGGTTTTGCTTGTTTGGTGTGGTTTTAGCAGGATCTGTTCTGGTTCTCTGTGTTTCTTGTCCCAGTGGGTTTTTGCTTTGTTGTTGCTGGTTCTTGCTTTTACCGTGCTGGTCGCCGCGCTAGTGCCCTTACCGCTTGGGTAAGACCCGGAAAAAAACTAAACCTTGACTCCCAGGTTAACCCAGCCTTAAATAGGTACAAGGTAAAGCCTAAGAAGAAAAGGCGGACGGTGTGATGCTGACCGCATCACTGACCGAGTGCTGATTGGTCTATAAAATATAGTTCTGCCAACAATTCATCCATTTGAAAAAAAAAACATGTTCAACCTACTGCGAGTAGTATCGGTTATAATTGTGGTCTGGTTTTCATGTGCATATTATGTTGGCTAAGAAATGTTCATTACACTCATTATCTATTTATGCAAAACAAAGAAATTGGCCACGCTCAACCTACTGCATGCAGTATCGGTAATAATTGTGGTCTGGTTTTTGTGTGCCAATTATGTTGGCTAAGAAATGTCAATGACATCAAACTAGTGCTTGGACCCGTACTCAAGTACCCGGTGAGCGTTGTTGAGATATGCACTATACAAACCGAACATAGTTCTGCCAGAAGCCGAAATACATTTTACTGACATTTTCGCCCCTGAAAGAATGATTTAACACTGCCAAAAGAGACACAGAAAGTACTTACAGTACAAATGGTCATCGCTCTCATTGGATGACAGATGGCAATGTACCGCTCTACGGCCAGCATGACCGTTATCCCCACAGTTAGGTATTGGAAGATATCCATGAAGATAACTGCGCATGAATAGAGATAAAATAACCATCATCGTCCTTTGCAGAACGTCGCTCTCATCAAGGTCAACCTGAAAGAAACTCGGTCTCCCGCTAGCTCTTTCGCCTCACGTACTTTCATACTCAAGGTGTCACTTATATCCTGTGTCCGTCTTCGCGTTCATCAGCTCTTGTCCTTCCTTCCTGGTACCATGCCTTCTGCTATTATTTTTTTTTTTTTCCAATCTGCAATGACGCTCGATATGATCAAAAATATTTCAGTCTCCGAGAAAAGATGCTGTGCGTTGATGTTATTTATCATTAGAGGAAAATCATGACCGGTCAAAAGAAATCTAATGAATGTATTATAGTCCGAAATTAGTCATCTCCAGGATTAGTCTCCAGTGAATAGTGGATTATTCATTGTATTCCTGATAGGCTATCAAATTAATCAACATGCATCGCTGCACATGCGAAATGATCTCCACACAATCTCTATGCGTGTGACAATTACTGTATATTCTATTTTTTTAGAGGTACATACATTATTTGTTAAACAAAGATCAAAGAAATTCGCTGCCTGAAAACAGCAGCACCTGTGCAATTTTAAATGATACAAATCATAAAGAAATTTGAATTCTAAGGCCACGTGCAAAATGTCCGTGTTGATCCGAACAGGAGTTTTCGAGATATTTGTGACGGCGTGAGTTTTGAAATAACTGTAGGCGCTCGGCTTCAGCCACGAAGGCTCGGTTTTGAGTTAACTCCGATTTTTATTAAAAGACTCACTTTGGCTACCAGTCAACCAATCCTAAAATGGTTACATGGTCCTGGGTGCGGCATTGTTGTTGTTGTTTTTGGTTTTTGTGCAGTCATGCTTTTCAACATCCTACGATCTCCAGCAGTATGTAAGCATTTGTATTACGGCTGTGCCGAATAGGGGTTTTCACTATTCGGCCGCATACCAATAACGGGACCAACTATTCGGCTGAATACGAATACGATTAGTGTATTGTGGATAAAATATATCTAAACACACACACACACACACACACATTCATAATGTCAAATGTACGTTGAACTTTTACTTCACATAAATTAGCACAGAATAGTCATCTTCTTCTTTAGCATTCTGAACCCGCTGTTAGCATCTTAGATGGGTCCAAAGAAACGTCGTAAGACTTTTCGAAAACCTGTAATAAGGCTTCATCTCTTATATTTCTGCTTCAAGTTTCAGAGCCATATAACACGACTGGTCTTATCAACGTTTTGATTTTGGTGTTGCGAGACAGCACTTTGACTTTAGCAGATCTTGAAGGGCATAGTATAGTTTATTTCTAGATTGTATTCTAGATTGCATTTCTTCTCTCAGCATGTTGGAGCAGTTGAAGTTTGCACCCAAGTACTTATATGTTTCCGTTCGTTTGATTTTCATATTATCAACTTGGATGAGGCCGGAGTTTATATTATTTCCATGTCTAGTTAGTATTCGTACAGAATAGTAAACATTTAAAAACATTTTATGTTTTGTATCTTTCAGTCAGTCTGTGGTAACTAAAAACTAGGAATGAAAGAATCCTAAGTATTATAACAAGTAACTAAACTTGGAAATTGTTGGTTTTCGAAATTGGTGGTTTGGAAATTGTCACTGACATCTTAGTTAATGCAGGAAAGCTGCATTAGCTTTCAACAAAACCAATCGTTCCATGTTATCAGCATTAAGGCCGTGTGTGCAGAAGCTGGTGTAATGTAACTACTATTCGTATTCGGCCCGACCGAAACTTTTCGGCCGAATACCGAATAGTCAATAAGTCCACTATTCGGTCACGAAGCGAATACGAAGCGAATATTCGGTACAGCCCTAATTTGTATACTAATACATTTCAATGACTTGACAAGAGGTGGCGAAGGCCCTTCTTTCTTTGGCTTCCTTTATCTCCCTTTCCGTGAAATTTTCAAGTTATCAACAGTTTGTTTCATATTTTTTTTTTTTTTTTTAAATACAAGTATGGCCAGGACATTAGAACTGGCTGCATATCAAGTATATCATAAATTCTGATTGTATATTAGCCTTTATGAAAACATTGAATTCAATTTTTTTTCAGGTACTTGAGTTTTAAGCATTCTTTTGTAGAATCGTATCTCTAAATGTTTCTTTGTTTTACAGCCATACGTCATTGTTAATTCTATGTAACATACAAATTCTCTGTCCCGCCTCTCAAAATATGGCTAGGGTTGACTGCAGTCGAGCTAGTGACAAGAAGTGCCGTCAGAAGTGTCATGATCACCTTACAGTTTCGAAGCCTTGTTGTACTGTCCGCTGAGTTTTCCCGTCACTGTTTGTGTAGCATTTGGTACTCGGTTGACAAAGACTTTGGTCGAAACATTCGGTTATATTTGTGTGCGTATTTTCCATTCCTTCCGTTAAGCATTCTAGTCACATATCATGCTGTATTTAGCAACTCTAATGACATGGATTTATTGCCTAATATGTTCTCCTGTTTCCACACTGTGCAGTTATTTGATTACGTTATTCATTTTCTTTTTTAAATCTATGCTAGATATCTTTCGTGTCAAAGTTCTTCCAAACAGTCCATGAGGTTAACGACATACATAGAAACTTGGAATTTATCCATTTGCCTAGATTCTTCTTTTTTTTGCGTTCACCGGCTGTGAACTCCGGCGAAGTGGAGAGTTTTGGTTGTTTGTTCACTTCTGGATTTTAGTCTTATTACAGAACTTGATGTTTGTGGAAACCTTCGTCTGTCCTCAACAGACTGAGCCGATAAACCCACGCAATCACATCTTGCAGTTTTCATACATCCTAGAGTGAAAGTTGTGTTAAACTATTCTGAATGTGATAGTTTGATGAAGTTTGACTTTCTAGAAAGTTTGAAACCATTGCGACCGGTACAGCACACCGACAGTGGAAAATGAAGAAATCACACGAACCCGTGCAGAGATAGCTTCCTGCCCTGAGGCCGCCAGGGTGGGGGAAAAGGAGGTCTCTCTATCCTCACGCGTTTTCTAGCTGGGGTCCTAGAAATAGCCAAAACTCAGGTCCAGGTAAAAGCCAAAAGTCCAAGCTGATGATTAACCGGGACCTTCCGCCGGAATTCACAGCCGGTGAACGAAGAAGAAGAAGAAGAAGCCTAAATCTTATCTAGGTCTGTAATAATAATAATAAAGTGCTGAATGTCAATATATATATATATATATATATATATATATATATATATATATATATATATATATATATATATATGTGTGTGTGTGTGTGTGTGTGTGTGTGTGTGTGTGTGTGTTAAACCTCGTTAAAAAGTAAAACGCAAACTCGCTTAAGAATAACATTCGGTTAACATGAACAAAATCTTGGACCAATCAAGGATTTATAATTGAAATAGTCGTCACTGTTAGCATGCATTTTGTTAACACGAATTTGATATTTTTTTTTTGGGGGGGGGGGAGAGGGGGGTTACGCGTTAAAGTGGTTTCACTGTAATAAGTTTTAAATCAGAAGAAAATCACATACTTGAAAAAAAAAACTTATACATGATTATGGGAAACCTTAATTCATTTGCTAATTTCGCTACGGGCTCCGTTATCCCCGTCCATGCCAATCCCCCTCCCCCTCCCCACTCTTCAAAAAAAGGGAGGGGGGGGGGGTTGTAAGACATTCAAGATGCCTGAAACTCTAGATTGCAGATGGGCCTACTAAGCAAAAATATTAACTCTTGAATTAATGAAATTCAATCCTACCAGGACCGAACAACATGCGATTAACACCTGGTGACACAAAGTGCTACCATTCGGATGATAATCAACTGGGCGCAAGTTCTAGACATCCTGTTCAACCATTAGGTTGACTGGGGCTTTAAAATAACGACAAATTGTGTCCCACAGCTGGGGCAGCAATAGATTGTACTTTTAACTCTTTCACTTTCAAACGCTCACAGCCAGGTGCCCCGTTTCGACAGTAATGATGACATTAAATATAAATATACTACCTTCATAGGGGCTATACGTGCTGCACAATGCAGGAGACAACATATATTGCCCTAGCAAAATTTAAGATACAGAAACATAAATAAAAAATAAAGAACCTTATCTCACGCCTCTAGGCGTATGTGACATATAGTGCTAGACCTATATTTTAAAGACATCTTGGTGGGTGATGTGGTCAGGATCACGCCGGCCGCATTTACTTCCCAGAACTGCACCTGGTACCCCCTCAAGGGTGGGCCGACCTGGGAGCCAAGATCATTTATGGGAAAAAAAGTCTCCCGAAACATCCATAAGATGTTTTTCAGGATGACTGTAATATAAAGTCACAGACGGTTTGCTGTTTGGTACATAAAAGCCTCAACTCACTGGAATACTGCTGAAACAAAGCAGCCTTGCTTCCGAGGTGAAAATTGCAGTCCTCGGTTCTGTTGACAAAGATCTGCGACGACAGTATCAGAAGGAACAATAGATCCGCCACAGCTAGGCCTGTCAGGTAACAGTTGGTCGACGTGCACATCGTTTTCCGACTGAGAACAAACATGGTGAGGATGATTCCCAAAATTCCACAGCCACAGATGCCCGGCTCCAGGATATTTTTCATGAAATGAGTTGACACCTGAAAACGCAACAACAAAACAAGGATTGCTGACAGACCAGGGAATATAATGATGCAACATGGTACTTTTAATTTCAAATAAAAAACAACTAGGGGGCTGCGTTGTCTCGAGGCTGGACTTGGACTTCTAGTAATTCCTCTGGTCTCTCGATAGTGAGATCGGACGCCCGTGTGCATTGTTGCGCACGTAAAAAATCTCTAGGCAATTGGAAATCAAAAAGAGTAGCCTAACAGCGCTGCCCGGGCAAAATTTGGAGTTACAAATCTACCCAAATCTACGACTCTTAGATCTTATAACCTTATAACACCCCGACCCCTTTCTCTCTCTCTCTCTCTCTCTCTCTCTCTCTCTCTCTCTCTCTCTCTCTCTCTCTCTCTCTCTCTCTATTTCTTTCTTTCTTTCTTTCTTTCTTTCTTTCTTTCTCTCTCTCACACGCACTTTTTTCTTTAGCACTTGTTCTCTTCCGCTCTCTTATTAGTCTCTTTCTCTCGGTCCCCTTTTTTCTTTCTCACTTTCTCTCCCACTACATTATATATTCTCTCCCCTGCTCCTCCCACCCCCTACCAATTTCAAACTATTCTGCCCAAAAATATGCCATCGCTTATGCGCCAATATAGGGTTGCATGACAACGACAAGAACACAATCTTTGGGGCATTGATTCATTTTAAATCTGCCTCAGTTTGCATTCCCTGGCGTCTCCGCAGCTGCTTCATAATATTCATTCATTATTCATTTCAAAACCATCTTCACTGCACGTCTGGAATGCTCTTAAGTGCCCAGTCGTTCTTCTATGCATATTTTTCAATGTGTTTACGTTGACGACTCCCTGTTATGTACAGGCTGGTGTAGCAGCGACTGTGAGCTTTCGTGCAATTTTTACGTCGCGCTCAGTGTTGCTAATTTTCTTTGACAAAAACATCCAAAACGGAGTCAAAAATATAAATTTGCGTGGAAAACATCTAGAAAAAAACATACAAATGGAAAGAGTCACAATTTACATAGCAATTGATATGACCTTCCCTATAGAATCATGTCCTCATCCTTACTGAAGTCCGCCTTACAAGATCCACAGGATAAACATAGCTTGGATGATGAAGTTGAAGCTTCAGATCGAAAATGACTCTGGTATGCTCTAGCTGTTCCAATTTCTTTTAGTACCCAATCAGGGAGCTGATAAGCGGAACAGCCTTTTTCTATTCTTATCAAGCCGAATTTTTTGTCAAGATAGCCATTTAAAAGGTCAAATTTCATCCTGTTTCTTAGGACAGATTTGATAAATTCACTCCAAATGAAAAACATCTAGAAAACATCGACCATCTAAATGTCAAAAACGCCATCTAAATGCAAGGGAAAATATCTAAATCTGGATGTAAAACATTCAAAGTGGCAACACTGGTTGCCCTGCTCTATGGGTTTTAAAAAAATCGTCGCGTTCAACCAGCACTCCAAAGGGGGAGTTTTTGTTTATAATTGTGACATGTTATTTGCACCATTTTAGAATGGCTTAACATTGCTCGTCTCCAAATAGCCCTGAAAAAGGACTCTTGCAGTGTTTATGTGATCAAAGGAGACATGTCTAAATACCGTTAAGACCAACGACGACGACGTCGTCTACCGGTCAGCCAGTGGACGGCCCGGTCGCAGATTAGTCGCGCTGCTCCAGTTTGTGCGTATATCTAGACTTGGCCTACGCGTCGGAGAAAAACAAGTATCCTCATGTCTGAGATCTTCTACAGGCGTTGTATCTCGCCCTATTACCTTATTGTTGAATGCAAATAAAGGTTCTCTAGACGTAACAAAAATTTAACAATTCTTCATTTTTTTTTCATTATTTATCCTTTGGATAATTTCTCTAGGTTATGCGGGTGTGTTCGGAAATGAGCGGGCAGATAGACTGGTCCTCTCTGCACCACGTGGTGGTGATTTGATGTAGATCCTCACGGTCTGAAGAGATTGTCGCTGCGAGGAGTTACCAAGAATCTGGCCGACGCTCAACACTCAGGGAAAGGGCGAGACAGATATACAATCAACTACTGATACCATCGGAATTTGAACTCTTCGCATGTTACTGAAGATGGGGACGGAGAACTTATGGAAGTGTCCTGACTGCTGTGATGTCGATTCTTAAATCAACATTCAACATTTATTTATCTATTTTAATCTTACTGGTTCTCCGCTTTGTTCATGTAGATTTTAATTAGAGGGCTTCAAATGTAAACCTTAGAATGTGATAGAAATTCCAACAACTATGCCACTGTCTTATAACCTGTCAATATCGTTGTTAAAGATGTTAAGAGTGTTAAGCACGAACACGGGGACGTCATTGTGATGGTTTAAAGATGGCCGCTCCACTTTTGACATGCACCAAAGAGGAGCAGCATTCTGGTTTGTCAGTTATATCTATTTTTTTTTACCACATAACAATTACAACTCATTGTAAAAAAAAAATCAATTTAAATGTCCCTGACTTACCTCTATATGCTGGCAGGAATAGTTGAGCCACGGTTCGCCAGATATATTCGTAATCTCATCATAATATTCCTCAATAGCAATTTCTGTTGAAGCTATGTTCTGGGGCATATCAGTGCGACCACCGTCCCCTCTAGTAGACTCATTAAACGCGAAATTCGCGGTAGCAGAATGAAAACCTGCCGCTGTATTGCCTGTTTTACCGGACAAAGTCTGCACCGTTGTCTGGATGATGGATAGGTACTCTTGGGTTATGTTTCCCGCCATTATAGATTTATTAGGGAAGGAGAATCAATAGGTTAATTACAGTTTCTGACAGTCTCGAATCGCTGTCAGTCCTGCTGAGTTTGGAGTCCTGCACCTGGCGGGAAAAAAAGTAAAAAAATTATTGTATGTGTTGGAATTTATTTAGCGCGACAACAAATGTTCAGGGACACGGGAAAAAACTGATGTGGAAAGAGTGAGGGAAGTTGCCTTAACTCTTATTAATCTTCTAGAGTCGGGAGAGGATGTAGGAGCCTAAGCAATGTTAAGCGCGCAGTATTTATTATCTGTATTACTATTATTAATATCAACTTCTTAGTAAAACTATAATAACAGTATATTTGAAATAATATGAAATGAATAAACACATACACTTAAAAAAGAGAACGTCTATGCACGGTTTGAAAGGTTCACTTAGCCACATTGCAAATTTCAAGAGGGGAAATGAGGCTCAGCAATTCCCTTTCCTCGCCCCCCCCCCCCCACTTTAAAATTACATAGATGGGGGCGAGGGCCCTCAGAGTGCAAGAGCGCCCAGTTTCTGGCGCCTCTGTTATGATAAATATACAGAGGAATAACCCTTAATGCCGTATACGTATTATTTATAAATAAATAAATATAAGAAGTCGGGAAATGTGAACCAGCGTCACTGCACACGGTTATAAATCATAAGTGCTCTGCCACAAGTACGGACAGCTATAAGAAACTGTCTTCCCATGTCGCCGTCCGCACGAAACTCCGTAGCTGCAGCGACGTTCCTTCATTACCTACAGAGTGTTAACTCTGGCACTCATTTCATAGAGGCTGGATGAACCCCGAGAAGTGTCCGGTTTTGAACACCGGATTTAAAAGCGAGTCTCCTATCGACTGCGCTAAGGCGGAACCCCATGTAAATGTATATATATATATATATATATATATATATATATATATATATATATATATATATATATATATATATATATATATATTTGTATTTTTCATTCATTCACACACAAAAATTAGGTCTATACATCATGAATGTTGGACATATGGTGTCCAAATTGATTTAGACCATATTGATTTAGACCAATCAGTACTCCGCGGAGGATGCAGGGAATATTCGAAAACATTTCCTGCTTTCTAATCCACACTGCGGCAGACTTTTTCTTTATTAAAATATAATTGAGCCTCCAGGTCCGCCCAGCTTAAAACTGATATTGAGTAATATCTGGGAATAATATAATTGGAATATCTTTGCACTAATACCATCGGGGAGCCTTGACATAAAGGCACACCGAAGAGCTTATGGAGAAAGGAGATAGAGACTGGTTTTTTTATTTATATTTTTTTTTATTTTAACAAGTAAGCCCACTAATATTATTACGCACTTAAATAATGTTTGTTCTTATTTAGCCACCTCACTCTAGAATATCTGTAAGGGGGCTTCTTCTTTTTCTTTTTCTCCTTTTTCTTCTTCTTGTTCTTGTTCTTGTTCTTGTTCTTCTTGTTCTTCTTCTTCTTCTTCTTCTTCTTCTTCTTCTTCTTCTTCTTCTTCTTCTTCTTCTTCTTCTTCTTCTTCTTCTTCTTCTTCTTCTTCTTCTTTTTCTTTCTCTTCACGTGCACCTGCTGTAAACTCCGGTGGAAAGTCTGTGTTCGTCCATCTCCCGACTTTAGTCTTGTTCCAGAACATGGGTGTTGAGTGCACATCTGTTTCACAATCTGCTTTATTTGTATGCTTTTGGTTCCTTGCCTTTCAGGCAGATATACTCCGACTTTGAAGGATGCCTGTAATTAGTCGACTCCTACGACATGCTTGTTGGGGAAGCAGTAGGTCTATTCTAGTTTCTCCGCGACTGGGTCCAGGCACCTAAACCGGGGAGCACGGCTAACAGACCTGTAAACACTTGGTGTCACCAACTAGAAAGAGAAGGCCAACCAGAGAGATGAACGGAGGTGATATCTGCAGCAATGAAGCTCAAGGGCTCAGAATGCTGAGGAAAAAGAAAGAAAGAAAGAAAGAAAGAAAGAAAGAAAGAAAGAAAGAAAGAAAGAAAGAAAGAAAGAAAGAAAGAAAGAAAGAAAGAAAGAAAGAAAGAAAGAAAGAAAGAAAGAAAGAAAGAAAGAAAGAAAGAAAGAAAGAAAGAAAGAAAGAAAGAAAGAAAGAAAGAAAGAAAGAAAGAAAGAAAGAAAGAAAGAAAGAAAGAAAGAAAGAAAGAAAGAAAGAAAGAAAGAAACACTTATGGGCACAAATTTAGTGTAAACGCGACCTATCGTTAGTTAACTGATAGACTGTTGAAGGAAGAAGCGTTGTAATGAAAATTATGTCCTAAGTATAACGGACAAAACTGTGTAGCAGAAATAAAGGAAAATGCAGTTGGAACGGACTGAGAGAAAACAGTGGACTCAAGGGAATGTAGAAATAGGACAATTTCATGACATAATCATTCATATTCAGATTTGCTCTTAAGATTCCAGACAGGAAATTGCAGGTTGTTTCCATATCAGGCTCATTTATTTAAACACCGTTTATACCAACTGGGTGGAGAATTTCGTGTCATGTACCTCACTTTCTGCATTTGGGGTCATAACAGCGACGGATAATTAAAGATAAATTCTCCAAAGCAGGCTCAGTCAATGTTGTGTTGTCAGATAAAAGTGAATTTCTGCCGATAAAGTTATCTCTTGACCTCAACTGCTGAATATGGTGCACTGGTTAGGGGCACAAATTTAATAGAGAGTATAAGAATATTTACAGGATATAACATGTCATGGATTTAGGAGATACACTTGATTACAAAATGCCATATTTAAACATCTTGCATGCTAAAAGGGATGTTATCATAATTTTGTCTGACATATTTACGTCGGAATGTCGTTCAATTTGGCCATCTATAATCTTATCTTTTCAAATGCCTTATGTCATTTATGTCCTTCTGCTAAATTTTACGAGATTAATAGAAAATGTATAATCAATGTGGAGGGTTTTAGCAATGACAGGTGAATAGTATAAATCTTAAAATCACACGGAATCATGCGTATAGGAAACCATATGTATGTGTTAAAAAAAGTATGCATGTTTTTTAAACATCATCATCATTATTATCGTCATCACCGTGTTCCACTTTGATAAAAGTAGTTTATCATGGTTCAGGCGTCCATGGCTTGGGCGTTGCGAGTCCTACTCGTAATTCCAAAGTGCCGCGATCGATACCCACTGTTGGCTGCATAGTTGACCCAGCCTAAAATGGGTACCATGATGACTGTCCTGGTGAAGTAAAGACGGCCGGAGTAATGCTGACCACATTACCCACCTAGTGATGATGGTATGTAAAAATATGGGCGCTCTTCTCACATACCCGATATGTCTAAAGGCGTGAAAATGATCATTACTTCACTTTTACTTATCCTGATTCGCTAACTCAATCAATCACCAGCCTTTGATAAGGTCTGTGCCCAGTGTTCTCGTGAACCTAGTATTGGGGGGGGGGGGGGGTGGGGTGGGTAACGGCTGGTGAAAAGGGGGAGGGGTGTGAAGGGAGGGGGGGGGTGAAGGGAGGGGATCTTTGCTTTGTATTTCTTGTTTGAAAGTTGTCATTATATTTTCAAATGAATTTCCAATGTTTTTATTTTTTTAATTTTTTGTAAGGATTTTTTTTTAAACATCTTCATTGTGTCCTTATAATTCTTCAACAGTCACAGGACGGCTGCTTTAAAACAATTTTTTTTTTTTCATATTAATCTAATGGCTCTCAGTGATTCACCTCCATAGATCAGAAGTGGCTTTATATACTTCTTAAGAATTGTGTTCATACCTTTAGTTGATAACGACATATTGAAACAAAAACATTTTATTCTACTCAACGTCTGTGGCTTAGGCGTTGCGAACGATATTTATAATGCCGGAGTGCCGGGTTCTATCCCGGCTGCAGGCGGTTTGGCGTCTTGCACTGGATTCGCCAATGATAGCGAGAGCTGACCGTGCAGTAAGCAATGGCAAACTAACTTTCATCTATAAAAACCCCAACTGCCAAATAATGCTGAGGTTGGTACTGCAACGTCCTGTAAAGGATACGTAACTAATTCAACGTGTACACTGTTAATACATCTTCCATTTATTGTAAAGGTAGAATATGTTGTTGTTATTCTTTAGCGCTTCGTTCCACAATGGAGCATATGCCCTTAATCGGCTCACGCAGTAATCCTAAACTTTCCTAATACGTGCAGCTCATCGGATGTCTTCCCCAACTACTTTTTAACTACACTCCCTAATTCCAATTCCCAGATGTTGTTTATTCTGCATGTAATACTTTGATCCTGTGTGTTCCAGTGCAAAGACATTCTGGTTATATTGTCATTAGGTTTCTTGAGTGAGTGCCCTATCCAGCGCCAGGGTCTTTTCTTCATCTTTTGGTTAACATGAATTGTAGTTCTCTCCAAAATCTCTTTACTAATCATTATTTCATACCTTTTAACTTCCTATACATTCTTTGCAGACACCAGTTAATGAAAACGTATAGTTTATTAGTAAAGAACACATGGGTCTGCTTGAAAGTAGCACTCTTTACTTTGATGTTGCAGATTAAAACAAAACAAACAAACAAAAACGAAACTGCTTTTTGTAAACATTGTTGCTTCTGTTTACCCGCTGTTTAAATTAATATTTGTTGTCTAGACTTGATGTTACAGTTTCCATATTCATGCTTGCAGAGATGCTGGAACCTGGGGGTTTATGTACCCTGTGGACCCCCCCCCCCCCTCCTCCCATACCCCCCAAATGTGCAAGCTAAGTTGCCTCCAACTATTTACAGCCGTTCTCATCCAAATATAGACATTACTTTTT